TTTTTTTTTTTTTTTTTGTGGTACTGGGCAATGAGCCCAGGGCCTTCTCACTGAGCTACATCTCTAGCTCTTTTGAAAGATCTCTATTTTGAGACCAGGTCTTACTAGGTTGCTCAGACTGGGCTGGAACTTGTGATCCTCCTGCCTCAGCTTCCTGAGCAGCCAAGATGTCCAGTGTGCACCACCACACCTGGAATCCATGCTTCTCGAGCCAGTGCCGTCTCCCCATCTGTGGCCTTCCATTCTTGCCCTAGTGTAGGCTTGAACCCACGAACATCCTTTCTTGGTGCTCTTGGGCTGCAGGGCTGGGCAGAAGAACAGTACGCACTGTGTCTGCCCCAGGCAGGATGTGGAGTCATGGCTGGGATTTCCTCCTCCCAGCCCCTGCAGAGGCCTCTTGTGTACCTTCACTGGCTCCCTCATCCCTACTCCAAGGTCTCCTCGGAAATCTCTCTCTTCTTCCAAACCCTTGTCTCTATGCATACCCCCTTGCTCTCGCACAAGACCTCTGCTGGGAGGGATTTCTGCTCACTTTGACCAAGTGGCACCCCAGAGAGACATCTGTGTCCTCATCTGTGTCCGCCAACTGTCTTAGTCACTTTCCTCATTGCTGGGACAAAATACCCGATGCCTGAAACTTGAAGGAGGAGAGGTTTGTTTAGGCGCATGATTTAGAAGTTTTAATCCTTGCATAATTGGCAGCATGGTGGAAGGGACTGGGTGTAGTAAGCTGCTTAATTCATGGTGCACAGGGAGCAGGGCAATCTAAACCATAACATCAGCTCTTCGGTCCCTCTTGCACTGGCTACCTTCTCTACCTGCATTTTGTAAAAAAACAACAGCAGTGTTCTCCCATGTGGTCTCTGCCAGACCCTTGGCAATTTCCCCATGAGAAGGAATCTATACCCTCCTCTCCCAACTTAGGCAGCCTGCCTGAGTGCTTCAACTCAGAGAACATGGAGGAATGTATTCTATGTGATTTCAAAGCTCAGTCCCAAATGAGAGGGCCCTGTGCCCATGATGTCTCTGCTTCCTGTCCTCCATGAAGTGAGCAGCATTCTCTGCCCAGTCCCTTCCGCCTTGCTGCTGACTGTGCAAAGGACGACAATTCTGTACATTATACTTATTGGAAGGTGGCCAGAGAGAGAGAGAGAGGGTGTAGCTTTGACCAGCGGAATTGATGAAGGTGCCCCAGGCTATTGGATCTCCCGAAGTGGAGTCCAGCACACATATTGTAGGGCCCCACAGCAAGCAGGAAGGCAGAAGAGGATCTCCTCTCACTCACGACTTGGTGAGCTCTTAGTTCTTCTCAATTAAGTCTCCTCCCACCATTAAAGCTTCAGATGGAAGATGGAATACCTGAATCTGGACAGATTCCTGACTGTTGAATCTCAATTGCTTCTCCCTGCAGGTATAGTTTTGATGCCTGGGTGCATGGAGCCCCCTCTCTCATTCCCCCAGATGCCAGTACATTGGGCACAGCCACCCACCTCCCAGACATAGCCATCTCTGCTCCACACTTCTGCTTTTGGAGTTGTGCAGAATGCCACAGAAAGCCTTGTACAGTTGAGCACATAATGATACTCAGGGATTTAGGACATGACCCCAAACTTGTGTTCTCCGGGAGAAATCTATAGCATGTGGGCATAGCAAAGCTGGCCATTTTGTTGCAGGGAAATCAAAGCCAATTCTTCCTTTCACTAGGTGCAGCATGCTCGAGAAAACAGCAAGTCAGCCAATAACCAATCTATTGAGAAGAATTTTCTGCATCCCAGACCCTCAAGGACCAGAAGGGTGGAGGAAGTTAAGATGTGGTTTTGGTCGCAGAGGTCACCTTCTTTAGCAGTACAGCCTGTAATACTCATAAAGCAGCCACAAATCAACTGTGCTGGGCTTTGTGCTGGATGCTTTCATAAAGGGCCCTTCATTTTGTTCAGTGATTTTTATGTGTCTAGCATGTACTAAGCACGTTTTATACCTAATCTCATTTCATTCTCTGGGCATGTTTTCCCCTTTTTATAGGCCAAGGGTCACATGATTCCCCTGAAGTTACCCTGTTGGTGAATAACAGAGCGGGGTCCCACATTTTCTGATAAGGCCCATGGGTATCTGTGGGATGCCAGGCTGCCAGTCTGTACAGGGCGTGAGCACCTTCTGATAAGCCACACTGTGGGTGGGGACAGGGGCAAGAGGCTCCTTCAGGACAGGTGGGAGCTGGAGGGTCTCAGAGGGGCCTGGCCTCCGTCTCTGTGGTCAGGTGCTTTGTTAGTCTGGGAATAAGTGGGAGGTGTCGGTCGGTCTGTCTGGAAAGCTGGCTCTGGCAAACCCCAGTGGTAGCACCGACTGGCAAGGGGAGCTCTGTTGTGGATGGGTTGGGAGAAGACAATTCCTAGGGAGAGTGAGCGGTAGGGAGGCACCCCGCACCCTAACCCTGGTGGCTCAGCTCCGTGGCCAGTCTGGCTCCTGCAGCACCCTCTGCCTGGCGAGGAGGTGAAAAGGGCCACATTGCGGGCCACTCAGGGACCCCCCGTACTCTCCCCTGGGGCAAGGGTAAGAAGATCAGTGTCCTGGTTTGCTTTTTCTCCCTCGAGTCTCCACTCCCCTCTCTCTTTCCTGTCTCTGTTTACATCTTTCTTTCTTCATCCGTCTGTCCACCCATCTAACCATCCGCCCGCCATCCATCCATCCATCTGTCCCTCCATCAATCCATGTCTCTATCTCTGGATCTGCTCATCCCAGTCATAGTACAGAGGTATTTAGGGTGAGGAAAACTCCCCGAGGGCTTAATTTTCCTGTAGCTGGCTCTGGTCATGGCCAAACCGTTGAATTTCCTGAGTCAGGGCTCAGTCTTTCCATCTGTGAACCAGTAGAGTTGGCCAGGAAAACCCCATGGGCCCATTTGAACTCTGGTCCTGAATAATAGAGATTCCAGGTCCTTTTCCAGTCCATCAGCCTATTTTGTAGCCACAGCTGGACCTTGAGGGCACTGGGGAAGCTGGGAGCCCCGAGGCCCCTTGTGCCTGGTGCCTGGATGATTTGTGAGGCCCTCAAAGAGAGCGGCAGGACTGGGGTTTCCCGAGCTGTAGGCGCGCTCTGACAGTCAGAGCTGTAGGCGCGCTCTGACATCTGCTATTTCTCACTCCAGTGAGACTGATTGGCTCCAGATGGGCCCCTGCAGACTGTCTCCAGCTGTGCATTTCATCCAGAGGCCCCTAAGAGAGAGCAGGACACGTGCTGACTGCCAAAGCTGGAGGCCAGTGGGCACAGAGGCTCTGATTCTAGGCTCCCCTTAGCACGAAGACTCTTTCTTCCCTGGGAGTCCCCCACTTCAAAGCAATGCAACCCCAAGCCTGCTGAGGAAGGGCTGTCTGCAAGGCAGGCCTGGGCCTGGCAAACGTCCCAGCTAGGGAAGACTGGTTCACTGGGTCATTGGTTCTTTGGGTCAATCTCTGTGGCTCTTCTCTAGCTCACAGGAGGTTTGAGGTCATGGAAGGGACCCGGCCACCTTCCTTAGACCCAAGCCTGGGTCCCAGACCCCTTAGGAAGTTTCCTTCGGAAGCCTTAGTGGACTTAGCCTACTCCTTGGGGACCAAACCATTGCACTTTCCTCCTCTCTCCTCCCTCCCTGTCTCCCTCTTTGATACAGAGTCTTCCTAAGTTGTTAAATTGCCCAGGTTGGGCCTGAACTTGTCATCCTCCTGCTTCTGATTCTTTATTTCACAAAATAGCTAGGTGGAGGAGAAGGATCCCAGGCCGGAAGTCAGGAATCTACCTGGAACTTGAGTCGATGGCTTCCGGCCGGGTGACCTCGGACACATCACTGGACTCTGCAGGGCCTCGATTTCCCCACTTGTAGTGTAGGACACGCTTATCTTTCACTGTCAGAGTCTGCTTACTGCGTCTGTAACTTTCATCTTTCAGAGAGGAGTATCATCAGAGGCACCGGGCTCTCTCCTGGGCTTCTTCAGCAAAAAGGAGTACAAAGAAATACAGCAGGGCAGATAATATGAAGCCCTGTGCTAGGCAGTCACCTAATTTGTGGCACCCAAGGGATTCTCTGTTCTGCATGAGGTTTTGCATCTAATGTTAGATGCCTGAGCAGCAGTGGGGGCCTTGGGCCCTGGCCCTGGGGGCTTAGGCAGGAGCCAAGAGGAGCAGTCACCAGTGGCCCCGGGGACACCTTCAGCTCTGGATGAGGTAAAAAACTTCACTGCATCAGAGACAGGAGACCACCCCGCCATATGGAATTGGGCAACTGTGCATTAACTAGGTAACTATGCTCTTTGTAGAAAGTACCTGAGTACATGACAACTTCTGTAACCTGTCACCAAAGGAGCAGAAGGGACTCAGAACTGTTTGCTGTCCACCTCTCCACTGCTCTGCTTTGTGTAAATCCTGCTTGCTCTGTCCCCAGGGAAACTCCAATGGGATCAAGCCTTGTTTAGGTAACAAGAGGTATATAAGGAAGCCCAGGGGCTCTCAAGACTGACAGGAATCACTCACTGAGCCGCCGGCATCATTATAAGCCACTTTTAACTCCTATCTTCGTGTTAAAGAGTTGCCTGTCCAGGGTCCTCACTGTTTCCAGCTTCACACCAGCTTTCCTAGGTAGATGCTTTCTTTCTTTTCTGTCTCCCCGTGCTAGTCCATCTGGGTTACTATAATGAGGATACCGTGCTCTGGGTGACAGCAGACGTTCACTGCACACGGTTCTGGAGGCTGAGGAGCCCCAAATTCACACAGTGGCAGAGTTGGTGTCCGCTGCGTGCTCGATCATAGGTGGCCATCTTCTTGCTGTGTCCTCCTCACCTGGTAGAGAGCAGAGAGCTCTCTAGGGTCCCTTGCCAATCCCATAGGTGACAGCCCTACCTTTGTGACCTAACTATCCCCCAAAGGCCCCACCTCCTCATGGCACCATACTGGGGGTGTAGGATTCCAGCAAAGGGATTTCAGGGGGCCCACGAGTGACAACCCCTTTCTTTAATGCTAGCACAAGGCTGATGAGTCATAGGTTCTTATGAAAAATTTGGATGCATATAGGAGTGGACCATTGTCGCCAAAAACCCCTGTAAAAACCTGTGCAGGGGAAGAGACGAGAAAGGAGGAGCAGGGGATTGGGAGAGAGAGAAAGAAAGCAGGAGGACCGGTAGGTGTTCGCTGTGTCCGGTTAGCTCCTCTGGAATTGCTCCCCTGGAAGCACACGCTTCATGGAAACGTGCTCTTCCCATTCAGCCATGGGTTAGCCCGAACCACAGGGACATCATGCATGAAATCGGAGGGCCACAGGGACATTGCACATGTTATTAGAAGGTGGAAAGGCAGGAGCAGCTGTGTTCTGATTCACTTGAAAGCCGGGGAGGCAGGGCACTGAGCCCCGTGTCCTAGTGCTGATGCCTGGTCCTCTGAACCGGTCTCGACTTCCCTGGGTCCTCAGCCAGCTGGGCATTGGGCTCTGCAGGGACACCAGCTTCTCTTGCAGGTCAGCCCCATGAGCAAAGGTGGAGATGCGCAGATGACAGAGACCTGGTGGGTTCCAGCCCCTCCTTGTGGATCGCAGGTTGTCTTTTTTGCTTTTTCCTTCCTTCCTTCCTTCCTTCCTTCCTTCCTTCCTTCCTTCCTTCCTTCCTTCCTGCACCTGCTGCAGGGACTTCAGGCTCCTGCACCACAGCAGAAACTGCAGCCTCCCACGGACCGTGTGGACAGCTCCCATGACTGCACAGGGCTGAGTCCTTTTCATAAATTCCTGCATACATCTTGTGGGGTTTTGACTGTCTCGTCAAGCCCTTTCTGACACAGGGGCTGAGAGGAAGAGACAAAAGAACTTGGCAGGCGGGGGACAGAATAGTGGCAGAAGGAAGGAACCTGGGGTGGGTGAGGTGGGGTCAGGGAAAGACACAGGCAGGAGGAGGAGCTCTGCAAGGGGCAGCATGACAGGCAGGTACCTGACACCTCCCTACGCCAAAGTGGGGATTTGATGCTGGAAGAAGTTGGGGATGGAAAAGGAAGATTGCTTTGGCATTTTGAAGGTCCCCACTGGGCTCACAGGCTGGACCAAGATCTCTGCCCCTGGAGCTCTGTTTCCTTCTCTGTATCCCTAGCAGGTGGTCCTCAGCTGTTAACATTGCATGATGACCTCTTACAATCAGTGATGCTCAGGCCCATGCCAGGCAACCAAGATTCTAATGTCAGAGGCTTGGGTCCAGGAGCTGGTGCTCTGGAAGCTCCCCAGGTGATTCTAATGCACAGCAAGGCCGGACGATGGAACCTCTGGTTGGGCAGACACACATGGGGAGCCCTGGTGGGTCACATCTTTGTGTAACTCCTTCCCCTCCAGCGCAGGGGCAGCTCGAGCTGGCTGCTAGCAGCAGAATGCAGCAGGGGAGTGCCATCCTGGATTGTGTGTGGTCCCTGGGCATGGGGACTTGTGAATTAATGTCCCAACCCCTGGTCCCTCGGCACAGTACAGACTGCAAAACTCTGTTGGACAGGGTGGCAGCTGGCTGTTTTATCTCTGAGTGGCGTGGCTGAGATCCAGATGTCCCCCAAACCCTGGTGCACGCAGAGGCGGGGCCTTTGGAAGGTGATTGGGTCATGAGAGCTTAGAGCTGCCTTGCTGGGAGGTGGGGCTTGGTGGAAAGAGGCGAGTCTCTGGGGTATGAACTGGAAGGCTGCATCTCCCTCTCCAGCTCCTCCCTTCACTCCCTACTTCCTGGCTGCTATGAGGTGAGCAGCTTTCTTCTTCCCAGGAAGTTCCGCCATGCTGCTGACTGTGCAAGGACTGAAACTTCTGAAAACATGAGGCAAAATAAACCTCTCTTCATGTACGTTGTGGGTGTAGGGTATTTTGTCCCGGCAGTGAGGAAAGTGACCGAAACAGGGAAGCATCGAGGACCACACAGTACGTGCCAGCTGCTGTGCCAGAGAGTGAGGACCTTGCTAGCTCATCCTGTGCTGCCTTTTTGTCCTGGTCTCAGTCTTCCCACTCCCCGTTCTTGCTTCCCAGGGTCAGCTCCCAAGCAAACTTTGGTACCAACTCCTCATCTCAGGCTCTGCTTTGGGTGGAAGCCAGGCTCGGGTGGCATCTTCTGGAGGCCCCATGGACAATGAGATCATGACAGCGGGGGCTTGGAGCAATTGCTATCCATTCTCTCCGGGGGTGAGAGGCCAGGGTGGGGAGTGATGTTTGGCAAGGTGTGAATTCGGTGTCCCCTAGGGGCGATAAAGAGGACTGGTTGTCTTGGGTGAGGACATCCAATGTGTACAGAGAAACAGGGGCAGGGTGTGATTTCCTGTTGGCTGTGTCACTCCTGGGCCTGACTCCTCCAGGTGCTGGCAACTGCTCATCCTGAAATCCAGGCCACCCCTTCCTTGGCCTTTCAGCCTCCCCTCTGACCATTTACTCATTTTGGCCCCTCCCAGACCCCGTAGGCCTTGAAGTATCCCTTGATCTATGCTGTGTGGCCAGGAACACCCAGTTGTGGTCATGGCTCTTGGTAACAGCCCTGGGCTTGTTCTCTGCAATCTGCAGAAGGACAGTGCAGTATAGGAAAGGAGCACTGTGCTCTGAACCAGACAACTGAGCTTTTGATGCTAACTCTGTGTCTTAGTTACTTTTCTCATTGCTGAGACAAGTATCTGACACTCAGAGTTAAAAGAGGAAAGGTTTATTTCAGCCCACAGTTTGCAGAGGTTTCAGTTCATATTTGGCTGTCTCCAAGGCAGGGTGGCCTGGCAGAGGGGCGTCACAGAGGAGAAACAGTTCATGGCAGGCAAAAGGCAGCAAAGCAGTAAGAGCGAAGAAACAACAAGTGATGGCAGCAACCTTCTTTCTGTCTCTTATATCCTATCCAGGCTACATGCCCTTAGGACAGGTAGTGCTCATTCCAAAGGTGGACTTCCCCGTTATCCACACCCAGAACTCTGCCAGACCAATCAGTGGACTGATTTAGTAATGACTCACCCTTAATCCCAGCATCATGCACTTAATCTCAGTACTACACATTCTAGATCCAGTCACCGCTGAAAAGCCCCACCTAGGACTGTATGAGGCTTTGAGGGGACATCCAGACACAGCCATAACACTCTTCCATTTATAGCTGTTTGACTTCTGGAAATATACACACATTATTTCTCTGACTTCAAATTCTTAATCTAAAAAACAGCTCTGACATCCACCTTACAGGTGCTGCTTTTGAAGGTTGGTGACCTACTGGCTGTCACTGTGTTTTGAAAACACTCATTTAAAGGCTGGTGGAGGCAACACAGCATCACACACAAAATCCTTTGCTCCTTATTTCCTGTGTTATTTTTAAGACCCTGCAAGGGGAGCAAGGTCAGAGGAGAAGCTTGTTTTAATGGAAATGAGGAAATCATAGTGGTTAATGCTCAGCCAAAGACTGGACCAAATGGACCAGAACCAGAGCTGGGACCTTGGACACTTGGAGTCCCCAGGATGAGGCTGGGAAGGGGTATGATGGGCAGGTCTGGATTCAAGATTATGTCACAGCTGAGCCTGCCGTGGGGCCATGGAGGGTGAGGGGAGCTCAGGGGCCTGGCTGGAGTGGGAGCTCTGCAGGGGCCAGTGGAGTGGGTGGGGCCGAGATGAGCAGAGACTGGAGGAAGACAAGGCCCAAGGGACAGAGCAGCGTCACTCTTACAGAGTACTCCATGTGGGAGCTCTGCAAGGCCAAGTGACCAGGGGAATCAGTCTGCCTGCCTCTTGCTGAGCTCCGTGGGCTGCTCTGGGCTGGACGAAGGAACCCTTTCTGTTTTCCCTCTTGCTCCCACCAGGAAAGGCTGAGATGACTTTGTCGATATTTTCAGTCTTCCCTGTGGTAAAACCACATTGCGGGATATGGGGGAGATGTGGTAGAAATGGTAGAGGTAAGCTTGGCTTCTCATGAGGAGTGGGATCAGACTGGGCTCAGGGAGAGATAGATTTAGTTTCATTGATGATTCTACATGATCAGTGCTTGTCGTACTGTTAGCCTGGTGTTACCAGCTCTGATCATCAGAGGCTGGATGAAGGTGCTGGGGGTGGTGGTCAGAGTCCTGATCGCAGTGATGAGGGTGCGAGCGGTGATGGAGATGGCGGTGATGGCGATGGTTGTGATGACGGTGATGACCGTGGTGGTCCCGGTGATGGTGATGATGGAGATAGTGGCAAAGGTGGTGATTGTGATTATTATGATAATAGCCTATGTATAAGGCTTATCTGTATTCTTTATGTTCTCTACAATATATGTCTGCAATAGTTCTGAAGTCTCATAATGACCCTATAAATTAAGGGCTATCACCATACTTATTTTGTAGCTGGAGAAACTGAAGCAGGGAGAAGTTACAGAGACAGGCTCAGTCAGCATATGGTCAGCTGGCTGGTCATCTGGTGGGCATGGTGAGATGACCTCTACCTCAGGGTAGGATGCTGGCCCATGGCTCCTGGTGTCACTCCTTCCTTTGCTCATGTGCTATGTTGCTACTTTTCTTGTTGTTGGGGCAAAATACCTGACATCCACAAAGTAAGGAAGGAAAGGGTCATCTTGGCTCACAGTTTGTAGAGGTCTCAGTCCACAGTCAGCTGGCTCCAAGGAAGGGTGGCATGAGAGACGGGCATCGCAGTGGAGAAACAGTCCATGGCAGGGTAGTCAGGAGACAGTAAAGCAGCAAGCGGGAGGCCTGCCTTTCCCTTTTACCCCATCCAGGCTGCCAGCCAAAGCTGTGCGAATGTTCTGAACTCTTAACTCCAGTCAGTGGAATTAGTACCATAGACGCTTAGTACCACACGCCCTAGATCCAGTCAGCTCTGAAGAGCCG